TCTGAATCACTGATCCAGTAATCAGTTGAGACATCATAATTTTTGCTTAGGACTCAGAGAAACAACAGAGAAATGCACCATTATTGGAGAAACCACATCTCTATTTTTATAATCTGCTCTGGGAAGTCTGCACTCTGTGTTTCCAGGAAGGAGACTCATCCTATGATGCCCTTTCCAGTCTGGGTGCTGCCAGCAAGAGCTGCCAGTTACAGAGCTGGCAGCAAGAATTGGAAAGGTGTGGGTGGGTGTTTTTGTTCCATATGAACTAATGCTGGTGTCAGGCTGAGGGAAATGGGTCTGTGGCCCCACAGGGGTGTCCCTGGAGGTGCTGCAGTACAGGGATTGCAACAAGACCCATCTGAATGTCTTGAAGAGAAAAGACTTCTTGTTTTAATCAGAAAAACGAACAGAAAACAACACTTCAGCCCTGCCTGGACCTCCTTGGTCGCTCTTGATGCTTAAAAAGGCCTGACTGCTCATCAAAGGGTTATTCAGAAGTACTGAGGTGTGGGTGATGTGTGCTGTGGAAGAGCAGATAAAGAGCTCTGTGCTTTCCTCCCCCAGCATCCACACCTTCACCACACGGCACGCGTGCAGCCGCTTCTTCACCAAACCAAAGGGTATTCCTCGGTGAAGTGGTTTTCTGCAATTACTTTGTGTTCAACATTTTCACTTCTGCTTAAAATGTGTCTCTTCCTGTGTGTGCTGCTGGCTCAGGGGTGGGTGTTCAGCAGAGCCTCTCTGGGGACACAGGATGGAGAAGGTCTTTTGGGTTCACTGTTGAGTGTTGGGATGGTGGGTAGGGACCTGCAGCAGGGTTCTGATAGCTGCGATGTTGTGGAGTGTGTTGAGAAAAATCTGGACAGGCAGAAGAAACTTCTTTCTTGTGGGTTGGAAGCTGGTTTTGGGGTAAGGTCGGGTCAGTCAGACCCATGGGTGGCTGTTGAAACACAAATGTTTCAAAAGAAGACCAGGCCCCTTCATGTGGTTTGTGTGATGCCTGCAGCCAGAGCCAGCACGTCTCGGTTCCATGTGTCCTGCAGGGAGCTGCCATCCTCCACCACGGCCCCTCCAGAGCCTCACCTCCTCTTTTCCAAGGAAAGAAGGGATGTATGCCCACAAATCAAAGGGGGAAGGACTGGAGCTGTGTGTGTGAGCTGAGACAGGCCAGCAGCGCCTCCCACCACTCTTTGGGCAGAGTGTAAACTCAGCACTAAAGGGGCACTCAAATCATCCACAATAGTGGGGAAAATCCCTTCTAGACAGCCCAGCTCCCTGCTGCTGGCAGAGCTGGGAGCCACCTGAGGCTGGCATCTCCTCAGGGCACATCCCTCTCTCTTACCAAGCATTTCTGCCTCCCTGTGGAGAGGTCCAGGAGAGGACCAGCAACGTGTTTGACAAAACTGTTGGCCAACAAGTGCGGTCTATTGTTAGCATCGCCTCGTCCTCCTCACTAACACCAGGTTCAGAGGGCAAATCGCTCAAAGCAGCTGGGACATGACTGCTGGCTTGTGAGGAATGATGTAATTACATCTCCCTCTGCAGGGAGGTGAATAGAGAGGCCTTTGGAGGCTCTGGATGTTGGAGGGAGAGGGCTGCCTCAGGTTACTCCAGGTCAGGATACTGTCAAAATCCATCAAAGGCACTCCCAGGAGAGTCGGCGGCCGTCGTGCACAATGCAGGCTTTATGCCACTGCTGCTGGAGCTGAGCTAGAGGCATCTGGGCTTTAGAGGACTTCAGTAAAATGTTGCTTTTCTATGTCTTTTTTTTTTTTTCCCACCTCTCTCCTGCTGCTGTATGAATTAAGGCTCTTTGGCTCATGGAGTTTAAAGGAATTAGAGCAGCTGACGTTGATATTGTTGTTGCAAGCTCATAGGCTTGCTTTTGGATGTGAGAACCTGGGCAGCCCTCGAGACATCCCCAGGGAGTCAGGATCTGGCAAACAGCTGCCTTGTTTAGTAACCAGGCCCAGTTCCCCAGAAAATGAACATCTTCACCTGCTGTGCATGAGTGAAGTGCTTTTCTTGGGGTTGGTTTTTTTTTTAATTTATTTTTTTATAGTTAAAAGGATGCTTCCTGTTCTAGCCTGAGGTGTGTGTGTTATTTTGACCTATGGATGGAGCAGAGCACCTGCTGCCCAATCCAAAGGGAATGAGTGCTGAACTGCAGCTAAAGCCACAAACTTTTGTGTTAAACACACAGATTCCTTCATGGCTGTGGTTCAAAAGAAAGTGTAGGCATTGCCACCTCCTAAGGATTTATTCTCTTTTATGAGCCTTTGTAGAAATCAGGCTTTGGTTGTAGCCAGGGGATGTTATTTGCTTTTTAATGGTCCATTTACCTCAGCAGTAATCCTTCACAACTTGCTTTCCATCTGTGCTTCCATACCTTGCTTTTGCTGCTTGCAAGATCTATTTGATACTCTGTGAATGCAGATGTGGGAGTTGTCCCACAGAGGAGGATTTTTGGTCTTCATCTGTCTGGAGCTGCAGAGATGAGTGGTGGAGAATGGTTGGTAAAGCAGCTCACATGCCACCACACTGCTGTGAGTCAGCTGGACCTGAAGCAGGTTTTAAGTAATGATCCAGTGTGAGCAATGCTGAGCATTTTTAATTTCCTTTTGTATTTAAAAAGCTGCAGGATTTTGCCTAGGGTCCACAATTAAAATGATTTGATTCTGTGTACACATGGAGATTTGTTCATTTGATTTATTACCGTGTCAGTCTATTTAAATGGAAGGAACCACTTTTAAAGCATTTTGTTTTTCATCTTTAATGCTGTTGCTTGTGTTGCACTCCTTTGGAGAACAGAAATGCCTTAGTCATTTTGGTGTTTTCAATTTTCTGATGGGGCTGGATGAACTACAGACGTGTCTGGTCTAAACCAAGACTTAAAAAGGCTGAGATGCTTTTTTATTACAAGGTCTTTCCAGAATGAAATATCTGAAATCCAGCTCTGGATTTAGAGGATGTCCATCAGCTGTACTTTGTTTTGGAGCTTGTGTCCATGTGAAAGTGCTGTGGGACTTGTGCAAGTTCCCTCTAAGTCAGGTCCTCATTTGGACAGAGGGAGCCTGGGGAAGAGGGATTTTTGCCCTGGATGGATTTGGGAGGTGCCATAAATGAAACAAATCCATAGTAGGATGTTTAGTGACTGACACACTGAGACTTTCCCAGGGAAGTGCTCAAAACCTGTGTGGATGTGGCACTTGGGGACAGGGGTTAGTGGTGGCCATGGCAGTGCTGGGTTAATGGTTTGACTCAATGATCTTAGAGGTTTTTTCCCATCCTGAATGATTCTGTGATTCTGTTACAATTTTCTTTGTCAGATGAAGCTTCTTTATTTGTTCTACCCACTGATCAAAATCTCTTGAGTCTAAAACTTGAAGTATCTTTAGCCTGAATTTGTTCTAGTTCTCCAGTTATGTCCAGGCTTCATCTGGTTCTGCATTTCTCATTATATTACACATTTTCCAAACTTTTCTGAAAAAGAGAGCTGAAATAGCATGTGGGGTAAGAAGGGCAGGGAAAGTTGCCTTGTTTCTGAAAGCTTTGGAGGTATTCAAACTTTACAGAAATGTGATTGATCCAGATGATATTCTGCCTATTCCTTATCTCTTCTTTTGGAGCTTTTTAAGCTCCTTGAATTATTCCTTCAAATATCCCTGCCCAGAAATGTGCATTTTACGTTTCCTTTAATCCTATTAAACAGCGTGTTACACTGTGTATGAATCATCTGACTGGAGCAAATCTGGTGGATTTGGTTCAATAATCCTTCTTTCTGGATCACTGCCTTTCTGGGTCCCTGGAAAAAAGGAGAGATTTGCCATGTCTTGTGTCAGAGGGTGGCTTGTGCTGTCTGACAGGAGGGTGGCAGAGCATCGGAGGCACCAGCTGCATCTTATGGACAAGCTTAAATCTACTTTGAAGTGCAATGGATCAACTTTGGGAAGCAGGTGGGGGAGAGGAAGGCTGTGGCTGTTTGGGAATCTAAACTAAGTGTTTTCAGATGTTGAGGTTCAAAAACCAAATATTTTGGGGGTGGGTTTGGCTTCAGTTTGGTGGTGGGCGGTGTGATGGAATCTCATTGTCCAGTCACCTCCAGTGGAGCCCTGCTCTGCTGGAGTTGTGCCTGTGCTGATCCAGGGCTTCCATTTTCCTGGGTGATGTGTTGAGGTGACACCAGGTGACAGACAAGGTTCTGATCCTTGTGCCACCATGGACAGACTCACTGAGCATGGCCAGGAAGGGCAGATCCTAATAATAAGCAAATTCCTGAACTCAGCAGGGTGTTATAGAAACATCTGTACTGCAGCTACAGCACCTTCTCCTCAGCAATATCTGGCTGAGTACAAAGAGGAGCCACATTCTTGCATTGATTAGATTAGTGCAGATATCCAAATGTTTCCAGCAGTACAGGAAATGGTCTTTGTGCTGCTTGAGCTCAAGCAGATATGGGCTCGAGTTTCCGCTTTGCCTCAACGCCCTTCAACACGTGCCTTGGGGTTTTTCCCTCCCCTCTTTGCCTCCCCCACTCTGTAACCTCCTGGATCTTTGATGTGGTGATGACTAAATGGCTCTACAACACTTGATAGAAATTGTTAAGAGGGAGGCTTTGCCATCAGAGTATAAAAGACACATGATCTGAAGTGAATTTACAGCAGAGCACCCTGCCAATGCACCCAGAACCAAAACAGCTTTTGCATAAGTGCAGTGAGTGTGTGCAATGTCTGCTAGGCAATATATCCCAGCAGGATTAGTAAAGACATCCCTATTCCTGCATCCCTATTCCTGCTTGGGTACAAAAATCTCATGGGGGCTCTAGGATTAGCCCCCACTTCTTGTGGTGGTAGAGATGCCAGGCAGATCTTTGGAGTGATTGTGCCCATGCTGTGTTTGTCAGCCACGTTTTTGTTTAGTTTAAATGGTTTATTTATTGAAATGGATTTATTTATTTGCTGCTGTCTAGTCCTTGGCTAATTGTCACCTTTCCTGTGCAGCTCCCTGCCGGCCCTGCAGTGACACTGAGGTCCTCCTGGCTGTCTGCACTAGTGATTTTGGTGAGTTCCTGTCTCCCCAGTCCCCTCTCCTCCAATAAAAACCAACAGACCCCTCCTCACTCCCGCAGCCTCCACCAGCAGTAAATGTCCTCTGAGGGTGCTGGGCACATGGAGAGCTCTGAGGAGTTCAGAAGTGTCTGCCCAGCTGGCACCACCCCAGGGTGGACAGAGTGACACAGCAACCATGGTAGAAGGTCAAGGATTTGGGTGCATTTAGGAGAGGCCATTACCTCTTGTTGGTCGACTTGACAAAACACCAAAAGTTTCACTAATTGTCCATGCTTCCCTTTTTAAAAGGGAAATTGGCATTAGCTGGATCTGTAATGGTTGAAGAACAGAAAGTAGGTTGTCAGGGAGCACTTAGCACAAATCTTCTTGTTAGAATTCTTCATGATTAACGCTATTTTTTCTGGTGTAATTATTTTTCAGTTTAAATTTAATTTGTGCATGCCCTTTGCTGAACAGATTACAAATATAAACTATAAAAAAAGGCAAATATATACTGGAAGTTACTAGATAATCTTAACTCTCAGAATAACAAAGGACCAAAACTTGGGCTGCTGTAGTGAGTCAGTTCCCCTGGCTGCACAGGCCTGGAGGGTCTTCCAAAGCATTTTTGTGTAATTAATCCTTAAAACCTTTTTCTGTTTCCAGTGATCAGAGGCTCCATTCAAAACGTGACGAACGAGGCAGAAGAGCAAGAATCCATAATTCACGTTGGTGTCAACAAACTGTACAGGCAGAAGAGCAAAGTCTTTCAGCTGACAGGGGAGAGTGGGAACTGGAGAGGACAAATAAAGACCTTGCTGGAGTGTGGGGTGAAGCCAGGAGATGGAGACTTCCTTTTCACAGGACGTATGCACTTTGGGGAGGCCAGGTTAGGCTGTGCCCCTCGTTTCAAAGACTTCCAAAGGATGTACAAAGAGGCAAAAGACAAAGGGCTGAACCCGTGTGAGATTGGCCCAGATTGAAACCCCCTGTTTGGCCGAAGATCACTTTTAACATTTGGCCAGGAACGTTTCCTGGCTGCAGTGGGAACTCTGAACAAACCTGGCCACTGAGGCTGGACAGAGCTGGAGGCTGAGACCCCACAGCCTGCAGTGCTCATGGAAGCAGCAGAGGTACGAGCTCAGAGGGCTGCCAAGCAAGAAAGGCTGGATTTTTAACCAATCTTGTCCTTATGAATTAAGTTATTATATTTTTTTAGTGACTTCCTTAGGAAAACAAACAAAGAAAACTCCCATGGTCTTAATAAAAGAAAAAAAAAACCCAAATGAAAGCCAAGATGCCTTTGTATCTTTTTAATACTAATTTTTAAAAATGTCTTAAGCTGATGTAGCATTTGGTATGGCATATTCTGTATAAATGGCCACGAATGTGATAGAGCACGGTAAAACATCTTAACATTGATGCTTTGTAAAAAGCTTGGTGTACAATTCAAAGTTGTTTCTTATGACAGAAATTTATGGAGCCAAACTCTTATGTGTGTGTGTTGGTTTTTTTTTTTATTTGAAAGAATGTACAATTGCCACCTGCAATTTTTTGTCCAGGCTGGCAAATTCTTTCCATTCCAGAGAAATAAAGGTCCCTGGATTTGACACATGCTGTTTAAAATCTTTATTTTTTTCTTTCTTCTTAAGGCTGATCTCAGCTAGTCCAGATGTGCTCATAGATCAGTTCTGGGCTGCTTGCTTATTTTGTGGCTTCACTGAGCAGAACCAGAGTTCCTGTGAGGCATTGGGAACCACAGTTTTTTTCAAAGGGGAAGCAAGAGCTATTTTTGGAGATTTTTAGACATGTGTGCAGGCGAGGCTTTAAGTGTTCTTCTCTCTGATGCCAGCAGTGTTATTTTGGGACTGGCTCCAAAGGCAGGCTGCCCCTTCATGTTTAGCTTGAAACTTTTAAGTGTGGTAGCTTGGCATGAGGTGACTGTTGATGCCTGTGAGTCCTGGGGGACATGACCAGGCCACCCTGTGGAAAATAAACACTTGAATCAGGCTGTGCCACCTCTGCAGGCTCTGTCCCAGAAGAGCTCTCCCCTCTGGTCAGTCCTGCTGTTCTCCATCACTGATGGTGCCTTCACAAGGATTTTAATCTCTTGCCCATGCTCATTCTTCAGCATTCTTCACTGCTCCAACTTTTATTTTAGGCTGTCAGGTTCTTTAAATAAAAAGTTTCTACTCAGTGTTGCTTTCTACCTGATCCCTCCCCTCTCCTTTGTGTAATTTGGTTCTGAGGCTTGGGGAGGGCAGCTCAGGGGATGGTCCTGGGTGGGTGCAGGAGGTTCTGAGATGGATGGTAAGGAGATGTCCCATGACCCTTATCAGAGATAAAAGCCCCAGGGTTGTACCAAAACACTGGCCTGAAGTGAAACCAAAATCCCTCTGCAAGTGTTTCTGTGAACTCCTCCCAGCAGTATTCATTCTGTGGGCCAGTGGGAGAAGAAGAGATTCTTTCAGCTGTGGGAAGGTGATCTTAAGAGGCTCCAGGGCACTGTGGCTACTTCTGCAAAGACCTCTAACCCCATCTAGCACCCACCTATTTGCTACTTTGACCCCTTCTGCTTTCCAGCCAAAGCCCCAACCCAGCACCCCAAGGTTCTGTGCAGCCCAAGGTTCCCTCCAGCCTACTTGGAATTTGAAGAGAAATGGGCCAGGACCAGTAGAGGGGTAGAATGGTTCGCTCCAACCCCTCTCTGTGGCCTTGCTTCCTTTGAGGATCTCAACCCAGCCTTTTTCAGGTTTTAAAAAAAGTGATTTGGCCCTGAGATACTCCTGAGCACAGCTGAGTGGGCGGTTCAGAAGCCCTGTACCTCACCTCTCCTCTCCTGCTGTGCCTCATGAGCTTTTTCCAGCACAGAGTGACTGCTGGCAGGATGAGAAGAGAAGAACAACATGTTCCTGCCATTGTCTCCAACCTGCCCACTCTCATCTTCCCCTGAAAGGCTGCAGGAGCAAGGGGAAGAGGCTGAATTAAGTGTTCAGCCAGTATTTTATGAGGACAGTGCCAGCAAAATACAAACAGTTGGGGAGGCTTTGGCCCTGGAGCTCCACCTTTGGCTGCAGTTCACTTTTTATGGCAGTTTGTTTGTAGACTTTTTTATTTAAAAATACCCTTTGCACCCTGTGCTTTGCACAGAGGGAGGTTAACAGGGATTTCACTGACTGCCCTAAAACCCAGCGCCCAAATGCTCACCCTTAAGTCTTTGAAACATGATTATAGCTTGACATGTCTGGCAGAGGAGTCAGGGATGGAAAGGATGGATTAAAGATGACTGTCTTTGCTCACATGTGCTGACTGCACTCTGTAATGAGAGGCAGATGACATATTGATGCAGTGTCATGTGGGGACAGGCTTGTTGCCACCTAATGAAAGACCCTGGCTGGAGGTGACTCAGGACAGAGGTGGAGCAGGTGCTTGCAAAGCATTGCTCCTCTTACCAGTGCAGCTCTCTGAAGATGAAGGGCTTCCTCTTGATACCTAATTAGCATAATTGAGTTCCTCTTAAAAGCAAGAGGCTGACTTATCTGTTTCTTAGGAAGCAGAACTAATGAACTTGAATTGCTGCTGTAAGAGCCCCCTCCAGTTGGGCAACACTGCCCATAAATAGGCACAAGCCATGTGCTGTGTCCTTCTGTCTGAACTCTGGCAAGTGTGTGGTTTGCATTGTTGCTGAAAACAATTTCCACGGTAACCCTCAATTTCTCTGACTTGCCATGAGCCCACTGGTGAGCTAAACCACCTCCCAGGTATGAGCCATGCAGAGCTTGCTGTGGTGACACATAGGTTGGTTGGGAAACTCGTGTGGGTGTCTACAGGGTCTGTTTGAGGTTTATCAGAAGCTGCTTGACTGGAGGAAAACTTGTCCTTCTTCATCCTGTGGGGACACAGGGTCATCTCTTCAAACACCACGACTTCAGAGCTTGCATGGAGGATCACTGTGCTTGGTTTGCTGACAGCCAGGCCAGAGGAACATGATTATTTCACCTGTTTGCTTCCCATTCAGGAGAAACAGGCCATTTTCCCCCTGGTGTGCTGACACACTTTGCTCTTGCATGTGAGGCACAGCCAGGCTGCAGGGAGGTGTGATGGTCACAGTTTGTCCCCAGTGATGTCCCAGCCCACCTTCAGGCCAGCTGGCTGTAAGATCAGAGCTGCTTGTAGACACCTTTTCATCAATACAACTTTTTCTTTATTTCTGCTGTCTCACTCCCATGGTGATCCCAGTTTTCCTTCTGGGAAGCATCAGGTGTTGCTTTAGCTCCAGCCTGCTGCTGGTCTCTTCTCCTGATAAAAGTACTTGCCATCAGCCTTTTCTGGAGGAGGGGACTGCCCTGATTTTCCCCTGTGCTGGGCCATGCTGTGGCCTGGTCCTGTGTGGAACTGAGACCTCATCCAAGGACACAGATGGGCTTTGGGGAGGACGCTTTGCCGACATTCAAGCTAAACAACAACCAAGCTGTTTGCACCTTGAACACCAGCGTGGGTGATTTCTCCAGCACAGAGCTTGGAGGGAAAGGCTGTGATTTGAAGTGAGTCACCCTGGCAGGAGGCAGAGACGTGATCTGGCTCTTGCACCAAGCTCTGCTGAGCGTCCAGGGCTGGTCCCGCCCGGGGAGGAGCTGGGACGTGCCATGGTGCAATGCAGCAGGTGTTTCCTGCAAACCTGCCCTTTGAAGTGTGATAGGGCTTGTCTGAGCTCCAAGCCTGACCAGATGATGTGGTGCAACACCTCCAAGGCAGATAGAAGCTCTCCTGCTCATCATAAACTTAATTAGACAATACTTATTTCTGGAACTGGAAAAGTCTCTTGGTGGTGCGTGTCAGAGATGATGGTTCAGTGGTAAATAAGGTTAGCAATATTGGGACCAGCTGTTCTAGGAGACAGCAAATTGAAAACCAAATTGGTTGAGAAGAAAACCAGAAAAACATCAGGAGGGAGCTGTGTGTAATTCTCTGAGAGTGGTTAAAAGTAATACAGAGCCAAAGCAAAGAAATGTCTTGACAGCAGCAAGACCCAGGCCTGGAGGAGTGGGGCTGCTGGGGAGGGAGAAGAATCAAGTTTCTCCTTTGAAACTTGACAGCTTGACAGAACTGATTCCTTTTCCTGCTGCAGGGGCTGCCCCCTTCAGCTGACTTTGAACCTCCTTTTAGTGAGGCCTTACTCTGGGATGGTCAATAAAGAAGGAGCCTTTTCCAGATAATCCTTTCTCCTTCACCATCAGTCTTGAGCTCAGAACCTCACTGAGAGACATTGAGGGAACAGGGGTGCTCTATTGATGCCTTGGGAAGGCTGACCTAGAACAGAGGCTGGACAGAGTTAAAGAATAAAGCAGGGATTTATTAAAGGTCCTCAATGGATCCACCTTGGGCAGCACAAGAGCCCAGCCAGGGCTACACCCAAGATGAACCAAAATGGTCCCAAAATGGACACGAGGTCTCTCCCTTGGATCAGTTCTGCTCCATTTGCATCTCGGAGTTCATTGTCCAATTCCAGCTTTAGCCCATCCAGTCCCATCCTTGTTTTTCTCTCTCCAGTCCATGGTGTTTGTGCTCTTGGGCTGAGATTTGGATCATTTGTCCTTGGTCCCCAGCTGGAGCAGGAATTGTTTTGTCTCCCTGCTCTGTGCACAGAGCTCACCATCCCCTAATATGAAGCTCAGACCCACACACTAAAGCAGCACAGAATGTGAAAAATAGAAAAGCTAAACCTGAGGCATCACTATAACCCATCCCACAGCTCTCCTCACAGCCTTGCTCTGTGCTGTGAGGCTTTCCAGAAGGTTTTGGGTGACCCCTTGCTCCTTGCAGAGACTTAACTGGCCCTGAGCAGGAGCTGCTCCTGTGTTTGAGCTCTCCAGCCTGCAAAGCCTCCCTCGTGTGCTCTGTGTGTGCAGCTGGTGTGGGGCTGCCAGGGCATGGACAGGGCTGCCAGCAGTGCTGAGAGGGAGAGGAGAGGACAGGAGGAGTGTCCACTTGTGCTGCTAGCAGAGCTGACTCAGGGCTTTCTCCCCAGGGCTGGGTGCTGACTCAGCTGCTTGGCCTTTTTCTGGCTTCTCTGAAAACCAGAGGCATCTCCTGGGGCTCTGAGGCCGTAGCAGTGCAGCAGGAGTCAGCATTACTCGGTTTGGGGAGAGTCACGCCTTGCCTGGTTTGGGGCAAGAGCCAAGAAGTTCAGCAAGAGCTTCAGGATTGCTTCTGGGTGTGTTTTGTGCTCCTGCTGGGGAGCACGTGCTGCTCAGCCTGGGCTAATTCCTGGGGTGGATGTGTGCTGCAGCAATGCTGCTGCTGCTGCTGCTGCTGTGTGCCCCCACTGGACTGGGGCAGGGAGGATCTTCCTTTGGCCTTACTGGAGTGTAATTTCATGGTATTAACCCTCTTCTGGGGTGGAAAACACTCCATAGAGGGTGTCCCAGCACCTGGGATACCAGAGCCTTGGCTCTGCCCTCTGCAGCCGGTCAGTTTTAGGTGCTGAGCTGGGATGTGATGAACATCTTGTGCAAGCAATAATGAGGATTGACCTCTTAGCCTGGAGCCTGGGGTGGTGGGACCCTGCTGCAGCCAAGGGGATGCTGAGCCCAGCAGCTTTGCTGCCAGTTC